CAAGGAACAGCCTGGTCTCACCCTCTCTAGGACGAACCTGTTTGTTCTCCTAGCAGTCCATGGTGTATTTGGTTAAAAAATCGAGTGTATATAGTTTAAAAACAACAAAACCATACAAACAACCCCCTCATGCACACAAAAATCACCTATCAAATGACATATTTTAAAATATGCAATTCATTATGTATGACAAGAGGACCCTTAGAAAGACAGAAACTGACAATGCAAAAAATTGAAGCAAACAATGTACTGAAGGTGTGACTGTCAACACAATGGGGGAGCTTAAGCAGGGGAATGAAGAGATTAGTTTTGCTTAAAAACTAATTTTTTTTAAAAAAACCTAATTTAAAATACTTTATGGTGACTATATTGTAAAGTACACTCAAAATTGGGTTAAAGAGCCTATTTAGAAAGCTATTGTAGGTGAGCTCTGGTAGCCTAGTGGCAGGAAACTGCACTGCAATCCCAGAGGTGCACGGTTCAAATCCACCAGATGCTCTGCTCAAGAAGGAGGAACAATCAATCGCCTCCTATACCAGTCAGATCCAATTTGATGGTACACACATAAAAAAAAATTAATAAAAAAAGAAAGCTATTGTAAAAAACTTCAGAAGTAGAACACGAGTAAACGGTTTACCATCAGTAACTTTACTAGCCCCTTTTCAGTTGATCCACATATTTAACTTCAAAAAAATGCCCAAATCATGACCCTGTCACCTCAAACTTATTTTCGCAGTGCGTCCACTCTTGTTATTCAGTATTAACAGACTTGTTATTTCTCTTAGAATGATGTGTAAGCCCCAGCTGAAACAGTAATGACAAAGTAACTTTAGGTACTTTAATACTCCACCTACATTTAAGATAGGTTTGGAAGTAGTGGCATCTACTTCCTAAACCACAAGCCCTATGAACTAGGAGAAAGGACAATCATAAGAAAAAGGCTTTAAGCCTTTTGTTCAAAGGGTCGCTGTGAGCCTTGCTCAACTTGATGGTAAACAACCACCACCACCACCTATGTTACAGCATTAATGTGCTTTGTGTTTGTTGAGGATAGGGGAAGAAGTGATTAAACCAATTTCCTTAAGCCAGCCTCAATAACCACCTTTTCTCTTCCAGAATTTTCAAACATTAATAGATTCAAAAGTTTTAAAATTTTGTGCATGAGAATAGATAGATAGATAGATAGCTAGATAGATAGTTAACACTTGGAGAAACGTATGGACTTAAAAAAAGATCCTTGTCACTGCTCTTCACCTGGCCCTGACCATCAGGAGGTTTTGGGAGGCTGTATGCTGCAAAGGAAGATCTAAGTCTTCAGCCTGAGAGGTGCTGTCTTTGAGTTAGTTCATTTCCCTGAACTAGGCCACCAGAGCTCCCTGTAATAACCTATTATAATCACAGTATTTAAACTGCAATAGATGTTAAGAGGATTGAGTATAATTTCCTATGAGAAAAAGCAGAAGTATAAGGGTTTGGAAAGAATAAGGGAGACAAGTGGTGTTAGGTATCCTCAGATTACACACATGGGAACACGAGGTACAAGAGAATGCTCTGTTACCTGGCCCTGTACCCTTCTCACAACTGGCTCTATGTTGCAGTCACTGTGTCAACCAAGCTTCTTCCCCTTTTCCTGCAACTGTTTCTCAAATACGATGTATTTCTCAAGAAAACTGGTTTCTGGTGAATAGCAGACTACAACCCATTCAACACTATATGGCAACTTCATATTTTAAAGCAATCTACTCTTTCCGGTCCTTCTTATCCATTGTCCAGCCTTCCCACGCTTATATGTTCACAACTGAACACAGCACAGCCTGGGCAAGCACACCATGGTCCTCAGAGACAACGTCACTCTTTAAGGTTGTAATGAGTTCCCTTTTTCCCCTGAGAGAATCCATCAATTGAGTTCCTGGCTACTGCTTCCACTGGCATCGACTGTGGATCTCTTCACAAATTCAAATCTTTACTCCTACTATCATGTTTTAAACGGATCCAGGATTGGGTGTTAATGTGTTGCTGTTACATGTCGAGCTGACTATGACTCATTGTGACCCTATACAGAATAGCTCTGAATCCTACTCTATTCCCGAGCCAATCTATCTCTGATAAACCTACCCTTATTACCCCAGTCACTGTATTAATCCGTCTCATCCAGGGTCTTGCTCTCCTGTGCTGTCTCTCCACCCTTCCAAGCATAATGCCTTTCAAGGACATCGTTTAGCCTCTTGGCTACATGCCCAAAATAGGTGAGGCAGAGTCTCAAAATCCTTGCCTCCAAGGAACAGCTTGGTTTTACTCTATTCACAACAGACCTGTTAGTTTGTTTGGCAGTCATGGTGTATGTATGTTCTCTAACAGTACCACAACTCAAAGGCATAAATAATTCTTCTGTCATCCTTGGTCATTATCCAGTTTCTGATGTATACAAGTAATTTTGAAGACCATGGCCTGGATCAGGTCCACCTTAAGACTCTATACTGACATCACTGCTCTTCAGCACTCTGGAGACAACAGATTTTCCTAATGTAGTTGGTCTTTCGATTTTATGCTGAACTGTAATTCACAATGAAAGATGTAACTTTTGGATTTATTCATTAAGTACTTCAGGCCCTCTTCATTTTCAGTAAGCAAGGTGGTGTTACTGAATAGTAACTGGTTGTTAATAAACCATCCTCCAATCCAATCAATCTGAACTATATCAGGCATTCATCGTACAAAGTGTCTTTATTATCATCACTTGCTCAGTGCACAGAGACTGAATTCAACTCTGATGTACACCTTTCCTGATTTTAAACCATTCTGTACCCTCATTTTTTTTAAATGGTCACCTTCAAGCCTAATGTATGTGTATTTCATCACTCTTCTTTGCAACAGGCACAAATAAGATTCCTTTCACTGACTGATATCCTGGCAGAGATGAGTGCTTCCAGCATTGTATCCATGTACGTAAACATCTAGGTTGGCATTCTGTCAATTCCTGGAGTTCTCCTTTAAATTTTCACAAGTATCTTTATTGCAGCTTCGGGCTCCTGCCAGTACAATTTATACTTGGTCATCTGGTTGAAAGCTGACCTATTCTCTTTTTAGTAGAGTGACCCCTGGGTATTTTCTCCGGACACTCTGTGTGGCACCAAATATTCTGCCAAGTCATTCACTATCACAACTTGAGGCTTCAATTTTTCTCTTCAGTTCTTCGAGCTAGAGAAATACCAAGTATATCGTTTTCTCCTTCCTTTTGCTTTTAAAATGCCAGGTCTTTGCACATTTAATTGTAATAGTGTCTTCCTGAGTCACTTTTAAAAATCTGTTGAGCCTTTATTTCATCATTTAACCTTCACTTTAGCTACTCTACATTAACACTTTGCCACAAAGGACAACAAAAAATGTGTTTCTAAGCACGGTCGTCAATTTAAGTGTGCGACAATGTGTTGAATAGTTAAGTTTCTACTGACATTCCTTTCGTTTTTTCCTGCTTTATTTGCTTTCTTCCTGAACGAAGTTCTCCCCAACTTGCCTAGTCTTTGTTATTAATGTTCAGTGTGTCAAATCAGGTTTTTCAGAGTCTCTATATTCTAGAAGCATAAACTCGAAGTCATATATGAAAGTATACAACCCCGTTACCAATTTGGTTCTGCCTCACAGTGACTCTCTCTACTTTGAACCCTTCACTGCGTTTTTCAAGCCTGTCAACTGCTCTTCTGCAAAACAGCCAAGGAGTACAAACCACTGACCTTGACATTAGTGGCCCAGAATGTTACTCACTATGCCACCAGGGCTTGACTCATTCATCTTATCAGGATTTAAACCAGACTAAGTAAACCCAGGACACTTTACACCGCCATAGAATAACTACTTAACAATGAACCGAGAATGTGGACATAAAGTCTTTAACGAGACAAAAATGTTGCAAGAAATAATGTTATTATATTTTTAGGCAATTAAATGTCCTTTGACACTAGATCCCTGACAATAATCCCTAGAGTATTAGTCTTTGTTCGCGATACATGAAAAATATACTAGTAGTTAGGAGGTCAGAAAACTGTTGTCAAGATTCAGACTTAGGGAGTTCTGATGGCCTAGTGGCAGGAAGCTGCACTGTAATCCCAGAGGTGAGTAGTTCAAATCCACCAGATGGCTTTTCTGGAGGAGGGACAATCTCCTCCTGTACCAGTCAAATCCGAATTGACGGTACACACACAAAATAAAGAAAATTTAAAAAATTCAGACTCAAGGCAAGCTTACATACAATTAAATAAAATGATGCCCAATCCTGAGCCTTCCTCACAGAACTAACACCCTCCCAATATAAAGTTTAGAATTCCACCTCTTTTCAAAGATAAACAAGTGATAGAAAAGAAAGGAAAATAAAGGTAGTATGTAATAACTCGAAGTAATGGCATCAAAGAATTTCAAGAAACTAACCTTGCCCCATGTTCTGATACAATGACTACCTTTCACAAGGTATTCAAGAGGGAAAAGTTAGATATTAATATGGGCATCGCCACCACACCCTCAGAACGCAACCTCTCATGAAGCATTCCCACAAGGAAAAAATTCAAAGGTCTTTGATATTCAGTACCTGATTTTCCCTTTGCCTTATCAGATTTATGTATTAGTTCATACATTACACTGATTACTACACTTTTATGTGACCTTAAGATACAAAAGCACATTTATCACCTCTCACTTCAAAGTGGTTCAAATTCTCTGCTACAGTGAATTCATGTTGTAAAAAAATGATCAACAGTTGACAAACATTTTCTACAGCAGCACTTTTCACTTTAAGGGGTCTGATCAAGTTGGTCTTTTTCAGAAGATAACCTCACTCCAGGTCTCTAAAACATAAATAGACCCTGCCTTGTGAAAATGTTAACCTTCTTTCAGGCATAATTAACTATCAGAAACCCAATACATTCCCTCCTCCCTCCACAATATGTGACTATGATAAGATGGTGGAATAAAAAATTGTGAACCCACAACTCTTTGAAACATTTTCCTACCTTCACACTGGTTCCTGGGAAGTATCTTCCACCTTGTTTTTATCACATTTTCCAAAATTTGTAGTCCATAATACTGAAAATTGGAGAACAGAGGCATGTGAATGTATTGCTAAAGGACCAGGAACTTCTAGGATTTACAAATAGACAGACATTCACACATATACATCTAAAGTTTCAAAAACATTACACTACCAAGTTTAATTACATGTATTAAACAAGGATCTATGCACCCATATACTGAGTTTTCATGCATTTTCCTTATTTTATGGTTTACTATTCTATAACGTCCTGCTGTTTATACATGCTCACACCAGGAGGAAAAAAAAAACATAATAGGCCCCTTAGCAGCCAAATGAGCTTATCTGTAGAAGAAAACGTAGCAGCCAGATATGAATTCACAGCATAAATGACTGCTTATAGGCCCAAGTATTTTAACACGACCAGACTCCCAAGAATTTAGCAGCTTGGATGCTATCAAGCTTCCTACCATCCTCTAGAAGTTGTAAGCTTTTGGACAAGTATTAAAAGTACTGTCACAGGTACTTTCTATAGAAAGTGGTTACAAGCATCACTGGTGTGTTACTTAAGGAGCAGCAAGACAACCCATGGGTTTACTTTTCAATTTTAACCCCACCCTTATAGTTGCTATTTCTACTAATTTAAAGATAAACTTTTGTGCACAGTCAAAATAATACACAAACACATGTTGCAATCTGTGCCTACCTTTCAGGTATTCCTTCCTACATACAAAAGTTACAACTAAAAATGTAAAAAAAAAAAAAAAAAGTTAAAAAAACTAGTGATACCACTTTATAAGCCATTTTGTCCCTCCTGCTGATTACTCACTCTAAATAGTCAATGATGTTTAGAAGAATTTATGATGCTCCAGTAGTCATTATCTAAAATATATTACAACGACCAATTAGTGTGGACAGGCAGGAGGAAGAAAAGGGACAACAATGCTGTGGTAATTTCCAAGTCAGAGAACTAGGAAAGAATCCAACATAATACCTGAAAGGTAGACTCATTCATACAGAGACTATAACCTCAGATTGCAAGTTTTGGCTGAGAATAAGAGTTCATCTTTAAAATGGTTAGTCATTACACAATAAAAAAAAAGGAGCATTAGTATTTCAACCAAAGGGATCATGTGAATGCTCATTTTATTCAAAGCACAATATAGACTGTCCCAAACTACATTGTGCTCAAACAGTGAATGTTTTTGCTGTTTTCTTTCATTTTTAACATTCCATCTTTTTCAAGAAATTCTGCCTTTTCCACTCAAAACCTACACGTAGAACACTCCTTAAAAAAACTTCCAAAGCAAAAAACTCCTAAGAAAGCAGTTATTCTGAAATTATAAATTTGATGCCTTTAGTTTTCATAATCAGCAGTAAACAGTGGAGCTTTCTCTCTACCACTCTGCAACTTCCAAAAGTCTCAGAAAAAATGCAAACAAGCACAATGGACAAAAGTGCCTCATTGACAAATAAGTTATTATAAACTTTAAAAAAAAACACTATAAAAAAATTAATCTTACAGACATATAAAACCAGACTGCCAAGACCACTTCTCACCACATGAAATACAAGTTCTTGTTAGTTTGCAAAATTAATAACCTTGAGACCAAATCACCAAATATACAAGTAGAATAAGAAAAATAATTCATCATTTAAAAAAAATAAGTCAGGTCACTTTTATATTGTTACACTAATTTACTCCTTACTATTTGATACTTTATTACCTAAAATACTCATTTATTAACCTCTAGTCCTTTCTCCAACCACAAGAAAATAGCTTAAGCTTACAGATGCTATAACTAGTACCTCAAGTCTTTCAACAACTTGATCCAGGAAAATCTAAGCTTTCAGTAAGTTAGGTCAAAAGAGTGCATATCCTAAAATCTACCCTTTCAAGGTATTAAGAATGTGCACACAGAACAGAGAAGGAAAATACACTTCTTTGACAAGATTAGCCAAATTAGAAAGCCAACAATCAATGTCAATTTTGGAACTATCCATAATCTACCATCAGTTTAAACAGCTACATCTCAGCTTTACAATCTCAGGATTCGAAAATCCACTGTTGAGTTATGAAGATGAGGGACAGATAACAGCAAAGACTAAATGAAAAAAGCAAACAAAAAAAATGCATGAAATGATCCCTATGGTAGAAATGTCTACTGAGCCCTTAGAAATACTTATTTTATGCATTGAATGCCCCTTTCCCCTCCCCCCACCCATGAAACAAAACAATTGATGAACAGAATTCAGTTAAAGGGAATCAAAAGGGTAGACCTTGTGGAGGCCTGCCGTCAAAGCCTAGCTGTGTCAGTTGCACAGGAAGACACCCCTTTTCTTCCTATTACAAGCAATCAACATAATGGAACATTATGATTAATATCAGGTAGTGTTAACATCTTTAAAGAAAAAAAAAAAAGATTGCATAAAAGCCAAATGTCATAGTGCATAAATTTAGCACCAAATCATTTGTAATTTATGTAAATCGAAGAATTCTTTACCTGTTGCTTTCTTTCTGTTCCTCTAATCATCTCATTTTTCACAAGACAAATTTGAGTTTTTAAAAATACTGTTGATAAATCAACTTAAACATTAGTAATGTCTGTCAGTATAAAAAGCAAAATTTACCAGGCAAGCAAACAGGCAAACACTATTATGTTACTTAAGGTTAGCACTTTGAGGAAGTTCTGGACTGTATTTTTGTCCTGAAATTTACAAGATGTCAAAACTAATTATTATTTTTAAACTGTTAACCAACACAGTCTGATTTCAGAAACAGATGTGAACACGGCTATTTTCTGTTTCAACACAAAGAGGAAACCTTATGTGTATTAAACAGAAGGCCATGCATGTATTTTATAACTTTAAGGCAGTTTAAAGAGAAGCGTGAATCATCAAGCCTAAAACAGTCAAAACACATTTTGATCAACCCTTCTGTTCAAACTTAAAAAGGACTCAAGTTATAACATTTTCAATTGCAAATAAAACTGAGTGCTGTCCCATTAAAAGCATTGGTAACATGAAGTAGTAGGGTTTTAAAGCTGTCCACAAACATGGCGTTTGAGGTACCTAGCCTGTATTATATTGATTACTTGCCCAAAATAATTCCTTTAATGTTTCATGTGTGAATTAACACTCAGAATTTATGCCACTTAGACCTGCATACAAATTCTTAAAAGGGGGGGAACACCCCCCCAAAAAATCCCAAAATAAAAAAATAATAAAAAACCCCAACTGAAGGAAAAAAAAAGAGAGAAAACAAAAAAAAAAACCCACCTTGCCCACTTGCATTAGTCCCAGTTACAAAATGTCATTCATAATTCTTAGGACTATTTGCAAGAAGAATTAAATCTACGTTTTCTTAAGATTAAATTCTGAAATAAATGAACAATATTAAAATATTTTAAAGTAACAAATGCTAATCCTAAAAATGAGATACCTTCCTCAAAGTTTATGACTGGAAGAAAAGAAATAATGGATTTAAAAACCACCACTTGCTTACTTTCGTGTTCATATTCTGTGAAAACTCCAAAATTGTGTCAACTCTTGTCCATGCATCAGGATGCTCCTTTAAATGTGTCAGTACTTCCTGAGCCATTCTTTGCTGTAATATTACACAAAAAAGAGTTGTTAAGTTCACTGGCTTCTTCCAATCATTCATCACAATAATGAAAATTACATCACAGAGATTCTATCAGCTTTTGGAATACTCAAAAAAATTATTAGCTCACAAAAATTTCTCAAAGTATAGAACCACCACTCAAATCTCAATTACAAATGGGAAGACTTTATTCCCTAGATTTTTAACAAGTTATAATATAAAGTCTGGCTTATCTGTTATGTTCGAAACTAGTATTTGCTTCCCTCTGGTCCCAAGCCTAATGAAGATCCTAAAAAACCCTGCTGAGTTCTCAACAGTTGGAACAAACAGCAACATATTTAATCTAATGAGGTTACCTGCAGTGGTATACTTTAAAAGAATCACTAAGATGTCCCTAATATTACCTCTGAGAATACATTTCATAAGAGCAAGGAAAAGCTAACTTTAAACAAATTATCAAACTTCGAAAACATGCAGATAGACAATCCCCCAGGAACTCCTAAATTAGAAATTATTATTTAAATATTACTTAATGTATTCTTGTAATTCTTAAAATTATAGATACCTATTTTCCACCCTTTTAACACTAATTTATGTGCTTAATTCTACTTATCTGAAAATTTTTGCTTGCAATTTTAAAATACAGAAACTAAAATGTTAAACTTACATACATGTAATTAACATTTTGCCGTACTTGTGTCTGATTTTTTTTTTCACATGAAAGAACCACAACTTATGGAAGTTTTGTTTCTCTCCAGTGCCACTCCCTTCCTTTGCTCCTTCTTTAGAGACAATCACTTTCAAGAATTTGGTGTGTCTTTTCCTGTCCATATTTTCACAGCATGCAGATGCAATTCACATGTAATTTTACACAATCATTCACCAAAGAAAGTGTGCTCTCAGAATTATTCCATAACATGTTTTATTTCATGGAATTTGAGACTTAACCACATGTATCTAGTTTCATTTTAGCCCTACAGTTTTTCCTAACAGGATCACCACACTTTCCCTAAAACTAATCCTACTGATAAAAAGTCTAACTACATTCTCCTATATCTTTTACCTATTTTTATACTGTTTAATCAGACCAGCAATACACAGTGCTGCTGTTAAGAAAAAAAAAGTAGGTAAGTACACATGCAATCATATAGTAGTTCTCTACTATATGAAAACCCGAACAACCATAAACGAGGTGTCCAGCTCTGTAAATAAAGAACTACACACATTTTGCAATTAAGAACACTGAGGGCATAAAAGCTTTAAGCAAACATAAATGAGGAATGTAAAAAAAAAAAAATCACAAGAGGAATAATAGTGACACATCTAGGGCAAAATATGACACTCTGAGATTATCTAATAAGCTATCCACTACAACCAGATATGGACTTATATGTAAGACTTAACAAATATTAAGAGGATAAGGCATATAAGACTCTGGGAGGGTGTAAACATTCATTGTGATTAGCAGCTAAACAACAGAGCATCCAGGAAGAAAGGCCTGACAATCTATTTGGAATAACCAGCCACTGAAAATCCCAGAGTTACTCTTGTTTCTCAGAGGGTGGTTCTAAGATAGAATCAATGATAAATTAATTTCCAAAACATATTGAAAATCTATATTTAGGTAAAGTCACATGGCAAAACAGGATTTTTATTAAGTCTTTTCAAGTGGTGAGCACACTTTCCACTAAATCCACCTCTTAGTACCACCACTCATTTCCATTTCCAGATAAATCATGTTTATTCTTATTACTCAATTTTTCCCCCTGTGATTAACTGTCCCTGAAAATCTGTAGGGTGAGCTGAACTGGTGAAGACTCCATGGTATGTAACAAGAAGTTCCTTCTTGTATGTGCATCTTGATGGCTTTTGTTATGATCCTACTATCCTCATGTACTATTAAAAGTCTCAGGAGAGGTTTTAAAAACACAAACAAAACAAGCAAATGTAGAGAAAACTAAAGAGCCAATCTGACACCTCCCAGTGCTGCCAACTGTATGGTGAACACATTTCAGTTGCTAAGTAACAGATTAGAGTTCAAGATCCTGAACAGAAAAGGGGGGGGGAGGGAGGAGATCCAACTCTTTCCCACACTTTTTGGGTCATACTCCTAAGTCCTCTATCTACCTGGTCTACAACAGGAAAATGCTTATTATAAAAGAAGGTACTCCCAACACTGCAATGCTAAATATCTTGCTGTATTATTTATCTAGACATAAAATCTGCCTAAAAACTCGTAAATTTCCACGAGGTATCAAAAAAAATCCCTTAAAGAAAGAATGTCACTTCTGCACCCCGGGACTACCCCTGCTTTACAAACCTCATCATTAACCTCCCCTCACCTCTCCTGAAGCAAGGGAGACAGGACTCAAGAGCGACTCCTTAATGCACTTCATGGGCTCAAATGAAGAATTTCAATACTAAACACTTCACCTATACGTGAGAACTTTCTATTATTTGAAATAATAGTGACAGCCCTTATCAGGATGGTATATGAAAACTGTAATCAACTAGTGAGAAAAACCAATATATTCAAACTTGGTAAATTAATTAGTATAAAATTTTTTTTAAAAAGTATAACGATGCGAAGGAGGGGCAACCTCCTCCTGTGCCAGCTGGATCCAATTCGATGGTACACAACAAGGAAAAAAAAGTATTAATGAACCAAAAGTTAAAAAACATGACTGTTAAGACACAAAGAGAGTCTCTTATAAACTCAAAGTGCTTTCCTCTTCAATGAAAAACATCAGTTTTATTATCTGTAAACAAAGCACTCTTACTTTTGGGGAAACTTAACCCAATGGCACTTTTCTAAGTCAACCTTAAAATTATTAAATGAGTCATTATTAAAAGTCACACTGGTAAAACATTCCTGATAAAAATTACTACTGCTTCTTTCTCAGTCACAAGGCATAAAACATAGTTAGATTAATCATTACTGTAAACTAAGCAAAACAAAAGCTACATTAAGTTTATGACAATATTAAAAACTGAGCCCAACCTTACTTTATGCATTCAATGTTATGTCGCTTAAAGCTCTGTTCAATGCACAATATGAAGAATAACTTCATTGAGTAATATAGAAAAACTTTTTCAAGAATGCTTTTAAAGACAAACACATACTAACAAAAAGTCCCTAGAAACACAAACCCAGCTAACAAGCTTTTACAGGTCATAGAAGATCAACTTTTCACACACCTAAAATGTCCATGGCAGCCTTTTCATTTATAACATTCTCTTTATAACTTTGTATATACTAGTTGACTATTATCTAACTAGGGATGCAAAGTCTGGCAACCATACTGGAGTAGATATTTGTCATTATTACCTGAAAAGATGCAACAAATTTTTGCTCAATGAAAATGATGCAACATATTTCATTCACAAGGTTAAGATTAAAGATCCTCCAGTTTCTTGCTGTAAGGACAAATCTAATTTAAGCTGACAGCAAGATGCTCAGTATTGTGGGATTTTAAAAGACATAATCTCAATCAGGATAACTTCTGTAAACTAAATGTATATACACACAAGAATATTATCTCCAAACATTTTAAGTATCTATAAAGTTAATACATAACTTACAATACCTACAAAGCATTTAAAACACTGAATTCTATTTTCTTAAAGATTATAAAAATCTTTGAAATCAAATCCCACAACACTCTGAGCCAGCCATGTCAAAACTGAACACCATTTCTTAATGCAGATCAAGTTTCAACAGTTAACATGCAATTTAATGTCAGCACACTTGTGGAATACCTTTTGCTAAAAGTAGGCAATTTAAATTTTTTTTTTTAAAATCAATGATGTCACAAAATTTTAGCCAGCTACTTTACCTGGGCTCCTTCTCCATGGTATAAGCAATTCACTACATTGTCTAAAAGGTTGATATCCAATTTTTGGCTGAAATCAAGCAGCTGACGAGCTGCATGGTCTGCTAACATTGTCATAATTGCTGGCATAGATTACTGAAAACAAAGTAAAAAAACACTGATGAGTCAAAAATTTCAATCAAATACGCTAGCAAGTTCTTTAGAGACTTTATTATAAAACAGGATAATAATAAACAATAGTAAGAGAATTATTATTTAGTTACTCCAAAACTGCTTGGGGGGGAACACCTGCTTGGGGGACCCATCCAACTTTCCCAGTGTATAAGAAAACACCAATTTTCACTGTTTTTTCCAACTCTTACATAGCTACCCTAACTGCAAATCTGTAATTAGGGTTTTATAGCCCTAAAAATGTTAACAGTTCAAAGTCTTAAATCTCAAAATTTAAAGCACAGATCAAATATGCTTAATGCAAGAGGATGTTTTCTTTTTCTCTCCAAGACTGGCCTTCTGGGAACCTCTGTAAAAGCTCACTTCCTCTTTTCACACTACCTTTAATTTTCAAAGATGTGCTAAAAAGAAAGGATAATACTAAAAATTAAGTGCAAATATAGAAAAGTTTTTATTATACGCAGCAATAATTACAGCAAATCTTAACAAAAATTAGTACCAACTCCCCATATACTTGTTTCAACTCTGAACGAATTCAGGGATGAAAATTACAAGCATATCCATTTCTTGACTACATAGTGGTGGCAGGGACACAACAGAAAACTAAGGCAACTTGCCAAGCACCCAGATATGCCCCAGCAAAGCGAAAATCCACCGTTTTCCAAAGAAAAAGAAATTACACCATCACTTGGCCTCATGTAAATGCACTGGCTAAGTCCACTAGTTTACACGCAGCATTACCCTTTAAAGAGGTTTCTACTCTTCTATGTTGGCATTCATGCATATTTTTGTTTCCTAGCATAATAAAAATCTTCCGTTTGCTTCTTCCAGGGCCAATGCCACTCAAGTTTGACTGCTTCAATCAATTGTACTCAGCGTATTTTGGTCAAGATGCTATAAAATCCGAGACAAACTCCCTTACAGTTGGAAATCTGACAATTTCCTAAGACAATTCAGAGAATAGGTCTTTCTGAAATTCACTCATGAACTAGATCCATTAACGCGGACAGAAGGTCACCTCTACTATTTTACAAATTAAAAACAGTTCAAGGATATTTTTATTTTAAAAGCTTTTTGCACTATTACAACAAAAACTACCATTTTCTACAGCAGATATCCCATTTTAAACAAAAACTGTCACACACAAAACTTAGATCCAAATACTCAATTTTCAAAAAGTCCCACAAATGTGTCAACTTTCCAACACTTAAAACATTTTAAAAGCCAGAAAGCACCAAGATCTACATTATCAGAAACTGTCTTTTAAAAAATAGGGACTTAAAAAAAATAACAGGGACTTTTAACTTTTGCATCCAACAGTCTTCAAAGGCAACCCAAAGCTATGCGTCAAGGACCTATTTCCCAAATCCCACTTTGCACTGGAGTTCTTCAAGCTACCTTTAGGTGAACCATGAGGTTGAGATTGCAGGCGAGCTGGCCATCCTGGGCACTAGCGGATTCTTTTCGAAACGACCTATTCTTGAAACTCTACCTCGTGCAGAAATGGCGCCTCTGTAGTCTATGCCAAACACGTATCGCCTCCCCAAGTCAAAGAGCTCCCTAAACATTGCGTGCACACTAAGCGCAGCACCCCACACTCCACGTATATAACCGTGCAGAGAGCCACTGGCTACGGCGAGAGGAGCGAAAGGAGGAGCGCAGGGTGCGCTCGGTCGAGCTGCCCGCATGCTCGCAGCCAGCGCCCGGCCAGCACGCATTAGAGTTGGGACTCTACAAGTGACGACTCCGCGCCCGATCAGTCACCGCCAGGAGCCCGGGGAAGCGCGCGCCGCCGCGGGCGTGGACGTCAGGCCGCAAAACAAGTTGCTACGGGGCGAGCGTCGGCTGCGCTGTGCGCCCTCTCCATTCTTCATCTACACGTCCCGCGCGGGTCCGCCCTCCGCGCCCCCCCCCCGGGCTCCGCGCGCACCCCGCCCCGCTCGGGGGAGGCCCCGCCGGCGCCTCAACTTCGCCACCCCATTCTCCATGCGGCATGGCCTGCGCGCGATCGCATGTCCCCTCGCCCGCACGGCTTCCCACCCACACCTGGGGGGCCCCCCGGAGACCCGCTGCCGGGCACCATCCATTGTACAAGGCCGGCGAGCACGAACTGGGGTCGATTCGCATGCGGGGCGCCCCATGAGTGGGCGTGGAGACCCCAATCTGCGAGCCCTCGTGGGCTGCTCCCTTGTAAACGAAGCTCCCCTACTCCGCGCGAAATAAGCAGCCCTCCCCCAAAAAAGCCCCATTCTCGAGTTCCCCAGCAGGAGCCGCGGGGCTCTGGCGGCCCCTCCCTCCCGCGATCGCAGCCTCGCCACCGAGAGGCCACGTGATGCAGGCGGACGTTTCAAGGCTGCCGCCGCCGCCGCTCGCTGCACTCGGCATTTCTGGAAACTTCCACTCCTGAGTCTGCACAGCGATCTGCCCCGCCATCCCCTCCAACTTCTCGGCGGCCCATCGGGGCCCGGGCCAGCCCTCCGCCAGTTCCCGG